TGTCGACCCAATTTCATACTATTTGCTGCATACGAGCACTAGAATCAATCAATACACTATTAAGCTTTCTCTCGGTGTTTGATACCATAGTTTGATCTAAGAACACATGCTTCACAATTGTACGAATTCCCGACTGTTCGATTTTCAACAATATCAATTTTTGAGAAAATTTCTTAATGTTAACCATACATCATTTGTCGCACAGGATGTGTGCGCAAATTTCCGCTGACATATATAACACCCAGATGGGCGATAAGATATATCGAATTTTTATTATATCAATCGATTCGGAACTATTTCCTGAGTTGATCTAAGCTTCACAGACCGTCTGACGTCTAAACATGTAGTTTTGTGTCGCAATTTTTGACATATTTCGTTAAAGTATGGTACACTGACGTGCTTGAACTCAAGGATAAGCGTACCTACTTTTTCGACAGCTCCCCATGTAAAGGCTTATTTTGACAAAAGTCTAAATTGTTGTGAAAAATTTGCTTTAGCCGGGTTAATTTTTTGGCCCATCTCTCATATAACCTTATTGCCAAGAGATTTGTAATTGTAATGTAATTTTCAATACTTTATGATGAATATTAGTTCACGACAGTCAATTGATATAGAGATCGACCCTACCGAATTTGAAGGAGATAGGTCTAGTTTGTAGATTTTATTAAAACTAAAAATGAATTAAATTTTTTGAGAAATAAATTAAGTTTTTTATATTTGGACGACGTCATATGATGTTTTGGGCCTTGCCCCGCATGCGGACTTTGCATGAAAATAATGTGTCATTTTGACTATGTTATTTTTTTTATACTAAAACGAGTGAATAACTGTACCGTGCGCAGAAATTAGGTTGTCGCCTACAAATAGGCAAGAGAATTTGAAAATGTCGCAAACTTTTAAACGAATACGCCTACAATGTAGACACGTCTATGTAATGAAAACTAGAAAGACCTTTACTTTCCGTGTTTTTTGCTTATTACAACGCATACACTGTACTACTAAACTTCTACTTTTATTCTGTAAATAGAAAAAATCAGCGGCGCGCACACACAATATTCTCAAGTATGGAGATTTAGTTTCTCTTTTCTTTTTATTTTTTTTTTATTTTTTTTTTTTTTTTTTTAAGGATCACGATGATGAGTGCAAAAGATTCTGTCATGATCGTATATAATTTTCTTACTTGTCATTTTCTTAATTTTAATTTTCTCGATTATTTTACCCGACATAGCTCAACAATAAAAGCCTGTACGTCACCCTAAATAGTTACGAGAAAGTTATAAGAAAGTTGATTACCTTTAGACGCAAAGTTTAATAAATGTATATAGTCTTGTATAAAGGCTATAGACGGACGGGCAGATTGTATTTAACTTCCTCGATTAGATATACAAAACTTCTTAGAATATTGCAGATTGCATACAAACAAAAAAAAAAAAAAAAAAAAAAAAACTTTGCAGCTGCTAAGACTACATATTATTATTATTACAATATAAAATTATTACAACGGAATAATATTTTAGACACCTGGTGATCGCCCACCACTTAACGATAATTATGATTATGAATGAAATAACAACTTGCAATACGCTGCCGTCGACAGGAGTAAATAACCGTAATTATTTTGAATATTCATCACGATCATAAGAAGAAAAAAAAAAAAACAACTATCACGTGTATGAGCGTGTGTGTGTGCGAAAAATGAACGGTAACTTTCCCATTCAAGGAGAAAAGAAAAAAATAAAATAAATAAATGAAACAGAGAAAGAAAAAGAAAACACAAAAATAAGTAAATGGCACCCTTGTCTAAGTAGTGAAAGGATTATGTAACCAAATCCTTAAGCAGAAGGACGCTCGTACCATCAAATGAATTGAAAAACAAAAAAAAAAATAAAATAAAATAAAATAAAAGAGAAAACAAAGCATTATAGCGAACGGTAAAATTGAAATGTAATTCAAAACTAAATCAAAGCTAGAAAAAAATAATAAAAAAAAAAAAAAACAATACTCAGTTCAATGAACGAGAGAAGAAAAAAATTATTATTTTCGAAAAATTTTTTCTTGATCAATAAGTTAGTAGTTATCCACGCATATCCATATAGGCCAATAGGTATAATAAATAATTCACACACACACACACAAACACAGACACGCACACACACATAACTATATCAAGGGGCGTGTTGAGTTACAATTTTTCATAAATGATACGCGTAACGGGGAATATTTAGGTGAAGAAAACCTAAAAAACTAAGGATAACTGTCAAATGGGAGAAATTTTATTATAACTAACGGTAAAATATGAAATGCAATGAAATGAAATAAAATCTTAAGGTGGTGTTAGAGCATCGCACCGTAAAGGTGCTGCAACATCTTTTATAATAATGAACAGCGAACACTTATATATACATATATACAATATATGCTTGGTAGCAGCATAACCAAGAAGTGCAGTCGAGATGTACATTGAATCTATTCGACAATAGGCAACGTCACTCGTGTTATATTTAGTTTATTTATAAAGGAATCTTAAATTTGATATATATTCCTATGTTACGGCCATTTATGCGCTTATGTTCGCATATGCATTTTTTGAAATATTGCTATAAGACAACATCAAGGCAACAACGACAACAACATCTCACACACGTCTGCACCTCATTTGCTTACCTTCTTTCACAAAAGACATTTTCTCCCCTAAAGATTTTGCTATCTTTAAGATTTTATTTATTTTTCTTTTTCTCCTTGTTTTTTTTTTCTTTTTTTTAATATATTACCTAAAAATTTTTGCATTTCTTTATTTGGTTTTTATTATTTTCAAAAATTATATATTTACTTGATTTCTTATCCGGTAGCTATTTGTTCTGTTTGCTTTCTTTTCGTTGAGAGCCCAAAACGGCAGATGCAATTTTCCTCCTTCTGTTTATTACTTTTTTTTTTTTTTTTTTTTTCTTTTCTTATATTCTGGCTGCAGCAAATGATGTAATCTTACGGTCGTTGTCTTGCTTTAACGGGCAGACATTCCGACGTCATTGTACATTAGAGGAAGAAAATGCGATTTTTGGCGCTTAATATTAAAAAAAAAAAAAGGAGGAAAATAATGTCTGCATCCATATAAGCACGTGGTAATTGGATTTAATATACTGATTAATGGTGGAACTCCGAGACTAATGTTGATGGCTGAAATGAATTGATATATATATATATGCCTAAGAAAACAAATGTTCGTTTTAAACTTATTTCTCTCTACTCTTCAGCCGATAGCCTGTGTTGCTAGTGCTCAATGTCTTTTTTTAGTCTAAGAATTCATTTCATTAGTCTAAAATTAAAATAATAATAATAATAATAATAATAATACTTTTTATTACTGTCTAAATGAAGGTTTTTAAATACGTCGAAGGTAGTAACCTAGCGAGTGCATGGTAGATTACTCTGCCATGTCAGTGCAATACCCGAGACCTATATATCTTGAAGAAAAGTAGTTCACTGGTGTTGGTAACCAGGAGAATATGGAGAATCCGAAGCAAGTGCGGTTGTTTTTAACATCCGCCCAAAGTATGCCTAAGGCTTTGTAAAATAAACTTGGAGCCACGGGAGTCAGGAGGCTCGCCTCACAAAGCCACGTATGCCTGCGGCTGTATGATGGACTTTGTCCTTAAGTCGTAATGAATAAATTAATTATACTATTAATGCAAAAAGGAATTGACGGACGGCCGATTAATAGAACATATCTGGCAAATTAATTTAATACATGCAAAAATGAAAAAAGGGATATGACGGAAAGGTTTTTCCCCTTTTACCTATTTTTACTTTCGAACACATGTCACGGATGCCTGCGGGTAATGGTGATAATTGATCAACGGCGCCGTGGAAGCCTTATGGCGGAAGCGAGCGCAAATTTTTTTTTTACCCTTTTTGAACGCTTATCGTTGATCAATTTGTGAGTCCTGACTGCTTGGGTGCGGCCCTTCGGGGAGTACTCGTGGTGGTTTGTGGTTGGCGAGTTCCTAGCTAAAATGGAACAATTGAGTGCAGCTAGTCCTCGCCATTGACCAGAGTGGGGTTTATTGTTCCATACACAATAAACCGTTCTGGACTCTGGTGCTGTTTAGGCCCCTACTCTGTGGGGATTGTCTAACTCGCCAGGGGGCGTAGTACGCTTAAAAGTGGCTTGGGCCACCGTGGGGTTAAGCCTTTCAGGCAGGAACTCACGTTAAATCCTTGCCACAAATTCTGTCTAAATGAAGGACAGACAGACAGACAGACAGACAGATGCGTTGACTGTGTGCATGCGAAATTTCGATATGAGCTTTCAATTTATTATAAGTCAGTTAACGCTCCTGCAAGAAAATCATCGGTTACTCTGTCGAGGTT